GAGTCCTGTTTGGGTTTCTTCTCTGCTTTCAGGAAGGCCCAGTTAGGATATCCACATTGCTCTAGAGCCTGTTTTGTGTAGGATTTCTCCTTCTGCCTGGCTCCCGAGTTAGTTGGGATGCTGTCTGCTCTGTGATACAGAGTCCTGATGACTCCTAACTTGTGCTCCAAAGGGTGATGGGAGTCAAACTGCAAATACTGGTCTGTGTGGGTGGGTTTGTGGTACACCTCGGTTTGCAAATGTCCTCTATCAGAGACTGAGACCTCACAGTCCAAGAAAGCCAACTTGCCATTTTTTACATCTTCTCGTGTGAACTTGATGTATTTATCCACAGAGTTGATGTGGTCAGTAAAATGTTGGACTTCCTGAGATTTAATTTTAACCCAGGTGTCGTCAACATACCTGAACCAATGACTTGGTGGTGTCCCTGAAAAGGACGTCAAGGCTCTCTTTTCTACCTCCTCCATGTACAGGTTGGCAACAATAGGAGAAACTGGAGACCCCATAGCACACCCATGTTTCTGCCTATAATATTGCTCCCCATATGTGAAGTAGGTTGACTGCAGGCACAGTTCAACTATGGTCTGTGAACTGTATTAGATTACTTGGTAATAATTACATTAAACTTTTTTTCTAAGCACCAAGGTAGTAGTAAAAGAGGGAGTGGTGACACAGACGTTAGAGAAGGTGGACCTGTGATTGGAAGGTCGCTGGTTCAACTCCGTGGACCGACAGCATCAAAATGTGGGTGGAAAAGATAAAACATCCGCACCTGCCTCCACCCTGTGGAGCAGCTGTGGCTGAGTGGTTAGAGCAGTCGTCCTCCAATGGGAGAGTTGGGGGTTTGATTCCACCAGCAGTCACATGTTGACGTGTCCCTGGGCAAGACACTGAACCCTCATTGCCTCTGATGTGTGTTCCATCATTGTATGAATGTGATAAAACTCTGATTAGTCTCTGTAGTGATCTAGTATAGAGCTGTATGAATGGGTCAATGAAGCACAGATTGTTGTAAAGAACTTTGAGTGTCTGGATCAGATGGAAAGGAGATATATAAGTACAGTCCATTTACCATTACCCTCATCTGGACCACTCTGAGCCCTTGAGCAAGGCTCTCAATCACCACCATCTGCTTCCCCGGGCACCCTAGATGCAGCTCTGCTCCACTCAGAGGGCAGTGGTAGCTCAGTGGTCTGTGGTTGTGTCAGGAAGAACATCTGGTGTAAAAACATTCTCCAAGTCTTCCTGTGAGTTGGTTCACTGTGGCGACCCCTGAAGAAGGAGCAGCCGAAAGAAGAAGAAAAAATAAACCGTAGTATTAAAAGTAAAAATTAATACACAAAATGAACTTCTTACATTTTAATTAATATCTTTAAGACTTTGGCCCAAATTGTTTATCTTCATCTTTAAAAGAAAAAAGTGTTAAATGAACTGATGGAGAGAGATCTGTTTTAAAACTTGTTCATTACCAACAGAGTTGTTAGCGTCTGTTAGCAAAATATCTAATGAAACACTGGGCAAATTAATAAAACTTTCATTTTGATGTCACTAACTTTGAGCTGTGTAAACTTCCCAAAACAAAACTATTTCTATTCCCACAAATTTTACACTTCTGCTAAATGCTATAATGCTAAGGTGTTAGCTTTTTTCTTTTCTCGTGTGTCTCGCTGCTGCAGGAATTGTTCTAGAATTGCGCCGCTCAATGTGGCTGCATGTTGGAGCAGAAACTTTTTTAGTTTTGGACATTTGTTATTATGCGTAACCATGGCAACAAGGCAGTTTTCTACAACCAACAGCAGCTGATTAACATCTCAAAAGCTCAAATAATATCTCAGCTACAGCCCCAAATCTCAAATGAGTTGAAAGGATGTTCTGTGGACGCATTCTCATCTACCTGCCAGCTGTGCTCGAGTGCCTGACCACTGAGATCCTGGAACTAGCAGGAAACACGGTTCATGACAGCGGAGGGACAGGATCGTCCCTCAGCACCTACAGTGGGATATCCGCAGCGACGAGCTCAGCGTACTGCTGGGAGGAGTGGCCATTGCGCTGGGAGGAGTTCTGCCCGGCATTTGGGCGGTCCTACAGCCTGGGGGAATCGACTAAATAACCCCTTCTCGAACCGAGAAGCCAGCCGAGTCTGGGTGGACGGCTCGGACGGCATCTGCAGCCAGTTTCTTAGGATCCGCTGTGGGATGGACCTTTACAAGAGATCCTTCCTGTCTACAGCATCAGCATCTATAACATATCTTAATGAAATGAGGATAACGAGTAACAACAACAAAATAATTTCCCTTTGGGATTAATAAAGTATTTTTGAATTTTGAATTGAATTGAATTTGAATTGACTGATGGTTTTGTTATAAATCCCCCAGAGTGCTGAGTGTGCACACCTGGACTCTTAATCTGATATGAGCTCATACAGGGTTTCCACGGGGCATTAAAAAGCAATACATTTGATTCTTAGTGGCAATAAATATTTATTAAAGTAACACGCAAAACTATAGTCGGTGCTCAAGTGTCGCGTCGCGTTCAAGGAAAAACAGGAAAACTGTAGAAGAAGAAATAAAATGGGTCAATGCAAACTTCTGCTAAAATGGCTGGAAAAAGAGGAATCCAGAGCACGGCTGCGGGCCGGTGACGTTCAGAGTAACGGTGGATTTTGCAGGAAAATAAAAATCCGACTAGGTTGACACATGGAAAGGTGCAGCAGCGTGCACAGCCTGTTTAAGTGTGAGTGTCTGTTTGATTAGCTGTTTCTGCTCCTTTAGTTCTTGATATAACTTTATTAAAAGATAAATATTTGTATGCGCAAGATTATGGTACAGATGTTCTAATTTTGTGTTCATAATTCATCATAAATATCTGCAACGCTCAATTTTACAGAGGATTTGATCAAAACAAACGAGGTGAGGTGATGTATGATCTGCGCTACCACTCAGCCAGAGCATTCAACAACAGATTTATGAGCGAAAGAATATCAACGATGACACGCAGTAACTTTGAGTTTAAACATTAGTTAACCACAACAAAAAGAATCGATAAATTACAGGGCCCCTGAGGGAAACGTCAGAAAAAACATACTGCATTATACTCTTGCAAATGTATTGATTTACCTCTGACTCCAAATTAGAGGCACAAACAGCCCCCTGTCATGAAGAGCTACACATCCAGAATTGACTGTTGATCATGTTTCATCTGCTATCTTCCAGTTGATGGACATTATCTAAGTTTAGCTACGTATTCATGGTCTCTGATTAATGCTCTGCTCTCCGTTTCATTTTCACTAGTCCAGATTGTTCTACATATTAAAATATACATTAGAGCCTGACTGATATGGACATTTTGTCTATTGCCAATACCAGTATTGGGCGGGGCAGGCTAATGCAGATAACCGATCTAATGGCTGAAATAGTTTAGCTTTGTCCACCCCCAATAATCTACAGATCAGTAAACAGCTACTTTTAAACCTGTTTTAACACTTGAAGTCTTGAAACAGTCGTCCTAACATGCGTTCACATTTTCTCTCCACTATTCACCATAAAGTTATCAAGTGTGTTACAAAACATAAATTAAACAAAGAAACGTCCTTCCCTGTTCAGTTAAACAGTCATGGTGAAGGTCTAATTAGTACTGACAGGTTTATTTTTCTTTGCAGAGAAGTTTAGATTTCAGACAATGCATTTCATTGAGAACAACTTTCATTCAACTTTTATTTAGACAGGTTAATCCTACTGAGCCTCGAGGACTCATTTACAAGAGAGACCTGATTAAAGCAAACAAACAACAAAGATAAAGTTATTAACACTGATGTATATTTACCTCTACATTAGATTTATTGTTCTGGACAAAGGTTTACAAGGCAATAACCTATGCTAGGTTATCTAAACGTTAGCTTGCCAACTTGAGAGGCATGTAGCTAATGACCAGCAGGTTGGAGGATTGAAGAGGATTTATTGTTGTCGATTTATTTTACAGCTCAGTTAAATAAACTCACCAGGCTCTGTTCAGTGAAATACACCACACAGTATAGCTCCCTGCTTCAGCTGTGCTGAAAGTGAAAGTTAAAGTGAACAGTCATGATTTGAACGTAGTCTTCTTGCGCCCTCTGCTGGATACATTGTACAATTACACATGTTGCCAGTAAGAACATGGCTTGTTCCCATTGTTTATATTGGTGCATAATGGGACGATTATCACCGATACGACATGTCCCCAAACATCTATCGGCCTATAATGTCAGCTCTACAGAGATGTTGGTCGGGCTCTAATATACATATTATGTATAATATAGGCAAATGAGAGTAGATATCCTGATGCATGCTCAATAATCCAGGTAGAAAAATCCAAAAAAGTTCAATCTGGTCCTCTGGACATTCAAAAAAAAATATATATATATTTTTTTTTTTTTTGAATGTCCAGAGGACCAGATTGAACTTTTTTGGAAATGAGAGTAGAGTTTATGGAGTGACAGTAAAAGCAAATATACACACAAACCTGGTGGTGCTCCACGTCTGTTTTGTTCTGTGATGCTCGTTTAAGTAAGTTTGATTTGAAAAGAAAAGCTTCAAACTAAGACTTGATCTTCTGTGAAACAAAACAAAAAGTTGTGTAATACCTTCTGCATTCATTGTCAATGGCATCAACAAAGGCATTAAAATTTCCCTTAAAACAGTTTGTGAAGTTTATTCATTCACTGTAGATGGCATCAGAATGTTTTAAAAACAGCATTAAATTGTAATTAAAAGGCATTAAATCTGAGTTGTTGATTTTTGCAGAAACCCTGTTTCTTTTCAAAACAGGAAGTGAAGGATGTGTTTAACTTGTCATATCTTCTACACTGAACACTGTAAAACATGCGTGACCCTCAGCCCTTCTGCTGCGTCTTGTTCACAAATGTTTGAACATATGTTACAGTTTTCACACCGTGACCGAGGCTCACTTTCTGCTCTCTCTTACAAACGTTTAGCTTCTCACACTCATTTCCACTTGTTTTCCAGGTACGTATTCCAACCTGTATAACAGACCCAAAGTCATCGAAGAACCAGCAAAGGTATGGAAAAGGAAAACATACTCATGTTCCAAGCACTTAAAGCAGAATTAATGGCTTAACAAGTTCACAGGTGGAGAGTTAAAAACAAGGGTCTTATGTGACGGGAAGTGCTCGTTCTGCTGCTTTTCATGAGTTTAAGAACCTCAGGACGCGTTGAATGTTGATTACAGGCTGCCAGCTTTTGAGTTCAGCTCGAGTTCCAGTGTTTGGATGGTGCAGTGTTACACCCCCTCATCTGCAGGATCGAGTCCTGATTCAGCTCCTCCACAAGTCCAGACTGGAGAGGGTGTCCAGGAAACCAAGAAGGCTTGAGGAACCTAAACATCTGAATGTGTTTACTGGAGACCGTTAGGATGAGAGAGAAACATCCATCCATCCGTCCATCCATCCGTCCGTCCATCCGTCCATCCATCCATCCATCCGTCCATCCGTCCATCCTTCCATCCATCCATCCTTCCATCCATCCATTCTTCCTTCCATCTGTCCGTCCATCCATCCATCCATCCATCCATCCATCCATCCGTCCTTCCATCCATCCTTCCATCCATCCATCCTACCATCCATCCTACCATCCGTCCATCCGTATCCGTCCGTCCGTCCGTCCTACAATCAGTTCATTGATTCGTTCAGTGGATCCTTCAGTTCATGCACTTTATCTGTGCAGTACACGAGTGAGTGACACGCGTCACTTCCAGTACAGTACTACACAACCGAATCACTCCTCAACGACAGTAGGCAGGTGTGTTTGCACAAACACATGGTTCATGGGCATTAAAGACGCATAATGACACATTCTGTCCGTCCGTAAGTAAGTACAAATTTAAATTCAGTCTTACAATATGAATTTGGTTTAAATATTTTCCAGGTTTGGACAAGTGTCAGATAATTTCTCATCACATGTTCTGGGTGTTTTCATTCTGTTTTATTCTTGTGGCTCAGAACATTCTTCCCCTGAGAACAAGGAGCTCTGTTGTTCTTCTTATCTCCAGCTGAAGGATGTGTTTTTAATGCCCATGAACCATGTGTTTGTGCAAACACACCTGCCTACTGTCGTTGAGGAGTGATTCGGTTGTGTAGTACTGTACTGGAAGTGACGCATGTCACTCACTTGTGTACTGCACAGATAAAGTGCATGAACTGAAGGATCCACTGAACGAATCAATGAACTGATGTAGGATTCAGTTCACTGAACAGAACTGCTGCTCCCATCACTCGACAGTTGCTTTCAGTAGATGGACCTTGCATAGTTGAAGTCTTCATATCTGAATATCATTTATGTATTTCACAAAGTTTTTTCTGTGTTACCATAAATGGGAACGTTTAGTTAAACAAAAAATATATATTTTGCATCTTATAAAACAACTCTCAAAATTGATGCATTGGCAGGAGAAACTGCTCCAACATCTTTTATTAAATCTCTGCATTTTTGCATTTGTTTGGCTGGTTACTGTTTTCTGAATCAAACCACGTCTGTGTCACTACATGACGTTATGTGTGGAGTATAATGGACGGAGTATATGCTGATGGTTCTGAAGCTGCTGAATGTATCAGCCCGCCAGCATTTGAAAAACATTTGGACTCACCAGCTGCACTGAAACTGTCATGATTCCGAAGAAAATCCATGCAAGTCTTTGTACACGAGGGCCCTGGCCAAATGAATGAAAGGTCATTTATATTTTTAATATTTTAGTCATAATACAGTAGTCCCTCGTTTATCGCGGGTTTTGGGGGACCACGCCCACCAGTGAAAAGTGAAAAACCGCAAAGTAGAGATGCAGTAGTCCAAGTTCAAGTTCAGTAAACTTGGTCATGACATGTGTCAGGCTGTAATCACACTCATCACCTGTTACTACAAATCTCCCTCCTTAAATACACACACAATTTAAATTTAAATACTGTAACATTTTAAATAAACAATGCATGGATTGTTTATTTAAAATGTTACAGTATTTAAATTTAAATTGTAGAGAAGAGAAGTGCAGCAGGACATGACAGGATGTCACTCAGCTTCAGCTCTGCAGCACGGAGCACAAATGTTCTTCTTGATCAGTTACACTGAAACAACTGAACATGAAGTTCTAAAATAATTTAAAATAACTTTGAACACTTTTATATTTTGTGATTATGATGATTTTTACAATGTAACACTTCAAATTTTAAGTTGGAAGACAAAAGTTGATCGGTGCATCTGGACAGTAAAGGGTTAACCTTCACAAAGCTGCTGCAGGAGAAATGTGTGTGTGGCAGAGGAGATCAGCTGATCAGCTGCAGGAGGGAGCTTTTCCTCCCACTTGTGGGCTTCACATATGGTGCAAAATCATTTCAAATAATTTATTTTAAATAAATAATGCATGGCTCATCCATCAATCAGCCAACTGTGTCATGTCCAATCTTACTTTGAAAATCTGTGATATAGTGAATCTGCGAACAATGGACCACGAAGTAGTGAGGGACTGCTGTACATCTTCTGGAATAACCATATTTTGTGGAATTGACAGCAGGTTAAACTCTTAAATAACGGTGTTAATATTAACCATCTGCTCGTCTGTCCAGTCAGAATTAACTCAGTTTTCAAACTTAGACCGTACAAAGAGCTATCTACAACAGGTAAGATGTTGTTGTTCATAACCTTTTGATGGTGCATCACTTCAGTGGCCAAGAAAATGTACGACTGTTACTATTGTAGCTCTCAGGCCTGACTACAGACGCTTGTCAGGGAGGAAGCGGTTTAAATCAGAAGAGACTGATGAACGGAGCAGGTTCTCACACCAACAGGAGGAAAAGGACAAAGTAACGGTGGAACGTTTGGTTCTTTGTGCATCAGGAAGAGCGAGATCATTCAGATCTGAACACCTGCCGTTTAAACACGATTCAGCTGAAATGATCTTATTCTGTTTCAGACACACGTGTTCTCAGAAAGTGGGACCGCTGTGGTTTCCACAGACCTTAAAGGATCACAACCTTCCATAAAGTAACAATTTATTTGCTGCAAGTATAGTAAATTACTAGCAAACTCAAAGGCTTCATTCCAGTTGAAGCAAAGCAGATTCTGGTAGAACTTTGAGGTCAAAATACTTCCTGAACTAAAACTAGACCACCTAAATGTGCACAACGTAAAAGAGTGGACATCTACGAACAGCTCCAAATTGTCAACCAGTGGTTTGCTGTAGAAAAGGACAAATGACGTCAAATCTTTAGTGTCTGTTCTCCTTGGTGAAATAATGTCTGATGTCAGAGCGACAACTTGTTCATTCCAGTCGTACGAGCTGAGACCACTCCTAAACGTGTTTGTTTATGTGGTGTAAACTTTCAGAAATCATTTCTGTGAAAATACAAAGCGGCGCATAAAACACTTTTTAAACAATTGTATTTATTGTAAAAAGTTACATTTTTAAATTAAACTGCCAACATTTAGTTTTACTTTAAAAGATGAAAAGACTTTGTATCTTTCCTGAAGAGCTCGTCTAACATCAGGTGATGTAATGAAACGTCTGCTTCCTCAGCCCAAGCCGATCCGTGTGTCCAGTAAGACCGGCATCCCTCTGGACGTCCTGCCCCCCAGAGGCCTCACAACCAAACAAGCAGAGCGCATGACGAGAATCAACGACTCGGACCTGCCCCGCATCTCCACTCAGCCCCGACACAAGGAGGAGAGCACAGAGGAGAGGAGGACGAGGAAACAGGCCATCAAAGAAGAGAGGAAGGTGAGGACGCTGCTCTGGGAAGACAAACTTTTTGGTGGGGGTTAGCCATCCTCGCACTCTCCACACTCTGGAGTGTACCCAAATATAAGCCACGCCCACTAAATTAAAGAAGGGGAAGAAATGTGCATATACAAGCTGCGGGTGTCCACGTTGTAACATGAGATATTTACTAGAGATGCACCCATCTACATTTTTTAACTTCTGATCCCGATACCTAGATCTGAGTATCGGCCGATCCAGTTCCGATATCATGATCATCATTGATTTTATATGAGGCTGTAATAATCTCCTCTTAAGTACAATTTGTACAAATATATGCATGCATGTCCAAAAAGGCAAGTCGAGGTAAGTTTTATTAATGTTGGACAAGTTTTAAAGTTAGAATTAAATTCTGCTAACACAAAACATGTTTCTTTTTATTCCTAGCTTTAAAGTGGATATTAAAGTGATTAATTTAAGTGATTTAGTTATTTAGTTAGTTATTTATAGATCCTTCCTGCCCACAGCTCAGCATCTATAACAACTCTTGAATGAAACCAGGATGATGAGCTACGACAACACTTAATTTCCCTCTGGGATTAATAAAGTATTTTTGAATTGAATTGAATTGAATTCATATTTTTTTAAATAAGGGAGAGCTATAAGATTTTTTTTGTTCTTTCTGCACTCTTCAAAGTTTTCTTTTTGATTAATTTGTTTTGTTTATTTTGTTTTAAATGAATGAATAAATGAATTAAATAAAATAAAATGTTAAAGGCTTCAAACATCCGCTAAGTTCATGACATTAAACCAACAGATGTTCCTGTTTTTAGTATTTTACATCACTTTATAATGTAGCTGGTTTAGTTTAGTTTATACTGTGTATGTATATATACTATCTATACTATCTACTGTTGTACTGATAAATATCTCCTGGAGGTTAAACTATATCTTGACTGCAAGTATCAAACTGTGAAATCCTTCATTTTCTACAACTGATAGTGGTCGGTCATTAATTATTATGAAGTTTAACAACTTCTCTGTAAACATTAGAGCTCCGTGGTTTCAGCGACGTCTTCTTCTTGTTCAGTCCGAAGCAGGCAGCCTGATTTCAGTCAGCCGCGCTCAGTCTGTCCCTCCTCAGAGACGGGCAGACTGAGGGGCAGATTGGACGTGGCTGGCCGAGGTCGGGCTGCCTGCTACGGGTTCAGTGAGAGCAGCGCCCCCCTGAAGCCACGGAGCTCGAATGTCCATCGTAAAACTAACTTTACGATGGTTTAATGTGGCGCTGTGGCTCTGCAGACAGTGCACGTTGCTGTCTTGTCTTGTGGTGTTTAGTGTAAAATACTTCCACACAGCGACATGTTTCGATGAAAAGTTTGTTAGCTGTTAGCCACAGTGCTGCTAACTCAGTCCTCACGTTGTAGCTGCTGCAAACTATGAACTGGATTTCCTGAATGTGAGGCGGGTCTTATTACTCTGGGCTCATGAGACACGCCTCCGTTCAGGAAATCCATTCCATAGTTTGAGGGCGGTTGTGGCTGAGTGGTTAGAGCAGTCGTCCTCCAATGCAAGAGTCGTGGGTTCAGAACTACCAGCAGTCACATGCTGAAGTGTCCCTGGGCAAGACACTGAACCCTCACTGCCTCTGGTGTGTGTCCCATCAGTGTCTGAATGTGATAAAGCTCTGATTAGTCTCTTTAGAATGATTTGTAATTATCTTTGTACAGATCTAGTATAGAGCTGTATGAATGGGTCAATGAGGCACAGATTATAGTAAAGAGCTTTGAGTATCTTGAAATAAGATAGAAAGGAGCTGTATAAGTACAGTCCATTTACCATTTACCATAGTTTGAAGCCAGCGTGCAGAGCAGCTGGCAGGGAATCGCATGAGGAGAAGTTTTAACCGACACAGACATTCTTCATGGATCGGAAAAATCCGATACGTAAACTATGCTGGTATCAGAGGCCGATATCGGATCAGGCCCATCCCTAATATTTACACAAAGATTTTTTAAACTTTTAATTAAATGCATACTGGTAACATACACAAATACGTACAGTAAATGTTTTTTTTCTGAACAGTACCTGTAACACAGCTGGTTAAAAAATAAATCCATTAGCCTACCAGGAAAACTCTATGATCACTATATACTATGGCAGGCCTTTGTGTATGGCAGGCCTTTGTGTGTCATAAATCTGAGACTTCACGATGGTCCACCTCTAAAATCTTCTTTGTTTTCGATGGCGATTGTTGTCTTTCAGTCAAATCTGCATGGTGGAAACACCTCGGCCGTCTGCTCTCTGTGTGTTCACCCAGTCCTCCAGAACATTTTCAATTTTTTTTTTTGAAAAAAATAAATAAATTTCAAGTTCAGGCCATCTGCTGTTTTTATACCTCAGAAAGCTTTAGTCTTTTTGCATGGATTCAGTTCTTCACGCTGCCGTCTCCAGCAACTCACCATCGAGTCATTGACGTCATGCTGACGTGCAGCAGCTCCATTTCCTTCTATGACAGCCAGATCGATCACCTTTAACTTGAAAGCTGCATCATCTGCATTTCTTCATGTTTTTTCCATGATGAGGGTCTGTGCACAAACTGCAGAACAACTGATCGGAAGAATTTAGTGCAAGTTCATTCATTCAACCTTTATTTCTACAGGTTAATCCCACTGAGCCTCAGGGGCTCTTTTACAAGAGAGACCTGAAGTGCGTTTGATTCGAAGTTTCATTGGTCCAATGTGACATATTCTGTAATTTCACTGGCCAGATAAAAAAAAATTAACCTTTATTTATACAGGTAGTCTTATTGAGTCACGAGGAGCCACCCCCCAACAGAGACATGTATGTGTATGGACATCTATGTGAGCACCTGGGTGTGACCAGGCTAAATGTTTTGGCGACAAGAAGCCCGTAAAAAAATAAAAATCCATAAAGTAGCCACAGCATTGTGTAAGCTGCGGGGTTCAAAGCCTGTGAAAAAAGTAGCAGCTTATAGTCTGGAAATTACTGCAGTTCAAAGAAATAAGCAAAACTCAGCTTTTATTAAAGGTCACTTTGAATTAATTTACTCACTTATTTTTTTTTTTTTAAGTTAAGTGCTATGGTAAAACATGCAGAATTCTTTCAGAGTAAAAGTGTATCAGAGTGAATCTATGAAAGTGTTTCTTTTAGAAATCGACCACTCTGATGTACGGCTGGATCTTCAAGATAATTTACGTACCACGTTGTGCTTACGTTCATTTCATTCAGATCAGCAGTTTTTGTATCTTTAGTGCTTACTATATTCTTAGTTCATGACTCGGATCTTGTTACCGTTTTTCTTTACAATTTGTATTTTTGTGGGATGTGTACATAGTTTCGTTCCACCTCATGTACCACATGTGATGTGAATGACGATCATCCTTGTAACCCTGTAGTTTGATGCCCGCACCAGCTCTTACCTAACAGAAAACCTGTATTGAAACCCCATCTAATGATAAATTATTAAAAATCTGCTTTATATCAGAAGTGTAGTCCAATTGATTAAATCTTGAGCTTTCCACCGTCGCCTCTCTGCTGCTCAGGGTGGGAGTTTGGGTTAAACCTACACGTAGTCACAATCTGCTGGTGTTCTTTACAAACTTTCACTAATTGGCATTTCATAATAATAATAATGTCATCACAATGTCAGCACTGTATGTTTCCATACAATGGCGAAATTAGTCTCTGCATTTAACCCATCCACCACCAGGTGGTGCAGTGGGCAGCCATTGAAGGCGCCAGGGAGGCATTTTGGGGATGAGGTGTGCTGCCCAAAGACACCACGTGATGGGTGCTACATGTAGGTTTATTGCATTATAATAGAAATTAAATGTGCTGTAAATGGATTTATGAATTGGACTTAGTTTTGTATACATCTTGTCTTTTCTTATGCATCGGTACTATACAAACAAACTGAATTAAATGTGGGCAACAAAATATTGTGCACGAGCTGGAATACAGTTTCTCAAGCCATCCACATGAAACACAGCTGCGTGGCTCACGACACCGTCACCAACTAGTCTTCAAACGTAAAGTGAGACTCGCACCCATGAAACCAAAAATGCAAACTTGTTTTTAGAAAAGTTCCAATTGAGATTTAAAGTCGGTGTTTGAGGTCACGGCCGCCTCGTTGTTCAAACTGGCTGAGAATGAGAATTAATCTGAAAATATTCCTCATAACCAACTTCCTGTTTAAGCTGAGACCACAGTGAAGGCACTGATCTCTGAAGAGAATCATAAATGCTCATTTTTATTTAAGCATTTGAAGTCAAAGTTTAAATGTTGTAATTCTAGAAATTGTGCCCAAATTATAAGCTAAGATCAAATATTTACCAAGATCACGGAGGTGCCTAAATGTGTTGTTTCTCTTTGTTTAGGAGAGAAGAGCTGAGAAGAAAGCCAACAAGATGGCGTTCAAGGAAGAAAAAACCCGACAGGAGAAGCAGCTGCTGAACTTGAGAACAAATGTTCAAGGCTTGAAGCTTTAGTTGCCAACTGCTCTGCAGGTCCTTCACCACCCGGACACGATGATTTTCACTCCTCTGGAACAAAAGAGGAGAACCGACACAAAAACAAGGACTACAGGGATTCTGATAGACTTTTAAGGCTGAAGGTTTTTTATTCAGTTGTTTAGAAATTAGAAAGTTAAATGAATGTCAGATCCAGTAAAGCAGCCCAGCCTGTGTTTCCTATCTGATTAAAAACACCGCGCACTGTGGGATCCAGTTTACTGTCCTGTCCTCTTCCCCCACAGCTGATGCAGAGCAACGTGTGGACACTTCTCCTTGCTCCAACGAGCGTGAAGTGTAGAAGACAACGGGACATTTCTGAAAAGCTGACTGATCAGTTTCCAGCTGTTAAAACAGAAGTCAACATGGTGCAACAGGGCAAGAATTATTTATAGAAAACATTGATATAGCAGCTTAATAAACAAGTTTTCAACAAAATATTAAAAATGTCCTTCAAAATTAAAATGAGCAACTCAGCTGATGTAAACAAAGTCAGTCCGCTCAAGCTAAAACTAACAGGAAAATATCCTGATGCATGCTCAACGGGATAATGTATTTACAATAAAAAAAACAGATCTGGTTTTGCATGCCACGTTTTCCCAGCAGCAGGAAGCTGCCATCATCGTTTTGGGTGCGAGCCCGAGCAAATTTCAGTCTTTTTCCGTCACATTAAACTGCTGTGAAGTGAAGAAACCCCAAGCCTTCATCTGCTTGTAGAGCTAAAATACATGAGGTGTTTGGTTCCAGCTCAGTGCACACATGGTGAGAACTTCTCTTCTGCTCGTTTGAATAGTGCAAATAATCAGCAACATCTCCTCCCACCTGCTGAGCATCAACCTGTTCTGTACAGATTCACTAAAGAGAAATGATTCACATCATACCAGCTGTTTGCAGCTGGGTGACCTACCCCTGACACAAAAGACAGACTACTTCACACAACCTACAAAACGTCTTTGGATTTGGGCTCTGTATGGAGTTTTGGGGCATCTGTTCTTTAACCAGTTGGCTTTGGTGCATCTCGTAAAATGCCGCAGGAGCCGCTGAGTTGTCCATTTTCAAGAGATCAAGTGAAAACCAGAAAGGTGATGGGAAGATCATCAACCAGTTTGTTGACCCGGAGCCAACGGCTGAATCACCGTTTTCTCTTTCCGTATGGATGTACAGTAACCCACCCAGCTAAATGTTACTTGAGTCAAAGATGATGAAATTTCTCTTTTGACTAATAGTAAAATTAGTTTATCAGTACATTTCTGATCCATCTGCTTAAAGTGTAAAGCTTCTCCTGAGCAGGGTCAACAACTGAGCACAGTTTGTCTCCAACACGTAAACACCGACTCGAGTTTTGTTTAAAACTTGCAGCTTCTAATAAAACACTCAAATGTTTTTTTAAAAGTTCCCCTTTTTCCCAGAGTAACCAGTGACCATGTCTCCATCTCCCATATCCAACACCAGAAAGTGTGGGGAGTCGTAAGGTGACACAGACTCTCTTTCCTCATTTTGAGAACTGACAGAAATGCACTCGGTCTTCAAAGAGTCATCGGCCGAGTCCTCGTCTGTCCCGACTCCCCCAGATATGAACCCTTCTGCTTCCTGGTTGCTGTCCTCCAGTTGTCTCCCTCTTTCCATGTACATGTGTCCGTCAGAAGGACTGGAGTCGGTACTGCTCACACATTGGTGCTCTGGGTAACTGTCCTCTGATGTGATCAAGGTGTTCCTGGAAGGCTTGGTCAAAGAGACTGGACTCATCAGGGCCTTGACAGTCTGATGCACCTTTATGTGATTAGTTTGAACCTCCTGCCAAAGACATCAGCAGAGCATGTCACAAAGATTAGTACTCTCATCAACAACATGATCAACTGCTGCTGGCTTTGTGTGTCTGTAAGTAAAATATCTGGAACCACTGAACAAGTTTGAAGGGAACAAAAAAGGTTGAATCATGTCATCTGGACTTCGTTTTTTTGTTAAAAAGAAACGTTTCGCCCCTCATCCAAGAGGCTTCGTCAGTCTGAGGCCTAGCCATCTGGTATTACCCAGAAGCCACCCTGACTCTTGTGTTTCAAGCCTGCCTCAGATACCCCTGAAGTCTGGCCTTTTCACTAATGGTTTCAAAAACACA